GTGGGAAGAACTTCCACCTTTTTGTATTTTAATTTTGGAAAACATTGAGCATAAACATAAAAGCTTTTTCAGCTTAGAATTTTTAGAATGCAGATAAAATTTAAAGAAAACTCATCTGCAATTCTATGACCCAAAGATTACCACTGTTATATATGCATATAAATATCTAGGTCATATGGAGTCATATGAAAATATAAAAGCATGGTTTTTTCATTTGGCAATAGCTTGAGGGCAGCTTTCTTCCCCAATAGACTGCCATAGTATCTTATGGTAGACAGCAATTTACTACTATAACATCCAGTCTTTTTTTCCTTAGTAGCCAAAACCCAATTTCATATCGTGTGGCATTGTATGAAATATGACAATTTCTCAGCCTTCTCTGTACCTAGCTGTGGCCATGTTACTAAACAGCCAGTAAGGTGTGAATGCAAACAGCACGTGAAACTTCCAGGAAACCTTAAGAATGTTGGCAGTTTTCCTTTATTTCTTCATCCTCTTCCTTCCTATAGCTTAGAATGTTAGCAGCCAAATCCATCATCCTGTAACATGACATTAAGGAGCATATCCTGGGTGGTGATTTAGAGCTAGTTGGAGCCAGGTGCCTAATGACTTCTTGATGCTTATACCAGAAATGGTTCTGGAATATTTCTGGCCTTCTTTTTTTTTTGGTGAGGAAGATTGGCCCTGAGCTAACATCTGTTGCCAGCCTTCCACTTTTTTTGCTTAAGATTAGCCCTGAGCTAACATCTTTCATAATCTTCCTCTATTTTGTATGTGGGTCGCTGCCACAGCATGGCTGACAAGTGGTGTAGGTCCACGCCCGGAATCCGAACCCATGAACCCCAGGCCACCGAAGCGCAGCACACCAAACTTAATCACTATGCCACGCCCTTCTGGCCTTCTTTTAAATGAGAAAATAAACCTTTGTATTTAGGCCACTGTAGTATTTCCTTATTAAACATAATACCGGTCATTTGATTTTATTAGGAATAAACAGTGAGATATAAAATGCCTTTTCTACATCTACTGAGATGATCAAATAGTTCATTTGAGTTATTAGTGTGGTTAATTGCGTTCCCAGAAAATGCTTTTTACAGTGTATTCTTTCAAATGCCACTGGCTTCAAAGCTAATATCTTGCCTATGCATTCAAAAACAATAATAAACTAAAAGTTATGTTTCAGATTTTGGTGTCAGGGTTATGAATTAGAATGTATAGCTTTGTTTACAAAATTAACTGAGTAAATGTTTTATAGGAAGTGTATTCATTCTTAGTTTCTAAGTGTTCTGTTACGGATTTCTGCTTTTGGCTAGAATTTTTGGTTAGTGACTAGATTTAGGAGTATAGTTTCTAATTACTCTAATTTTTTGTTATCCTGACATTTACTGTGTCTCAGAATTAACTTGAACCTCACCAAAATTTTAAATATTTGCTTTCATTTATCTTATGAGGTAAACTTTAAACAGTTATAGGCAAGTCAAGTCTGTTCATGTACTGGAAGCCAGGTGAACATAACTATAACTAAAGTTTACTTAGAACAGACTCATATTTCATTTACTATTTTCTGTAACTATGAAATATGAGTCTTACCTAACTGCCATGCAGTACTGTAGTCAGTTTACATATGTTAACTCATTTACTTCTCAAAACAATCCTATTACCCATGGGGAGGAGGCCAAAAAGGATAAGTTACCTGCCCTAGGTCACATGGCGACTTAGAGGCAGTAGTGACACTCAAGAATAGAGCTACAACTAAGGTTGACTTGGTAATTTCAAACTGTTAGGGCTTCAGAAGACCTCACTTTAAAAGCCTATGTATCTGGGCCTGTAACACTGCAGTACGTTTTTTCAATTTCAACTTTTAAAATGATAGTATTACCTCTAGGAGTGGGATGAAGTATTCAAGAATAAAAGTCAAAAGAGCAGAATGTTTACACTTTTTAAAACGCAAGCTTTCTCAGAACGAACATGGTATAATTGGGAATCCATTGGACGACAGGAACAAAAAGCCCAGATTTTTTCATTCCAGCTGACATTAAATGTGAGATGAGAACTCCAGAACTTAGGTGCCTTAAGTATATAATGAAAGGCTTGGCTCATCTTATCTAAGGATACTTCCTGTTTTTTCCTACTTCGCCCCACCTCTTTCCAGATGAAAAATGCCAGGCTGTACCTTCTTTAAAAAAAAACAACAAAAAAACCCATAGCTAGCATTCCATACTGTTTTCTTAGTTCAAAAACAAAAACAAAAAAGCACGAAGCGGATAGAATTTTGGGGCTGGGTAAGCACTTTCTATATTGGATATATTTAAAGAATTTGTGACTTGTAAACACTGCAGTAGTCAAGCACTATGTGTATTTTAGAAAGTTTTTTTTTTTTGGTGTTGGTTAGATAAGATGCTAAGAAATCCAATTTTATTATTTTATTTTTTGTGAGGAAGATCAGCCCAAAGCTAACATCTGATGCCAATCCTCCCCTTTTTGCCGAGGAAGATTGGCCCTGGGCTAACATCCGTGCCCATCTTCCTCTGCTGTATATGGGACGCTGCCACAGCACGGCTTGACATGTGGTGCGTCGGTGCGCGCCCGGGATCGGAACCTGAACCTGCGTGCAAACCCTCGGGCCGCCAAAGCAGAGTGCGCGCACTTAACTGCTATGCCACCGGGCCGGCCCCACTATTTGTATTTTAGAATATCGCCTTGGCTTTCTATCTTTAATGTTTGGTCTCTCAATTTACACTGTTTCATTTTCGTGTCAGTATTATTCATTTTCTTTTGGTCATTAATTCAGTTATCCTGTTTTCAACATTTACTACCTCCATAGCCCATTTACACTCAAAGAATGGCTCACAGACAGATACAGCAGCATTTTGGCCTAGTCTTCAATTCACTGAAGAGGTGAAGGGAGAGGCATTAACAGCAGGTGTAGTCAAAGGGCTATGAAAAAACATGCATTATCAAAACATGAAAGGACCTTCTTGTGGCTGTGGCCAAGTGTGCTCTACTCTTGGCAGATGATGCCAGAGGGTGGGGAGCAGTTACAGAAGGGCACTGAATGCCAGTGTAAGCAACTTGAATTGGACCGCACAGGCTTGTAGGGCATTAGGAAGCCATTCTGAATTTTTCAGCAGGGGATCAAGTCCTGCTTGATCACACCAAGGGAAAGATGTCACACTAAAAACTGATTTAGAAATCAGTTAGATCAGACAAAAGTAGTGAGCCGATATAGGTGAAGCAGGAATCAAGAATCTATGAAGGCTCAGATAGGTGCTTTCAAATAAAGAAAATGTAGGGGGAAGGAAGGGGAGGAGGCTGGGTTCCATTCTAAGCATTTGGAGTCTTCCACAGTGGAATGTTCAGATAGAGATATCCACTGACGGCCTGAAATATGGATATGATGTCAGCAAGGAGGTGGAAGCCTGAGACAGAGGTCTAGGACCCATCTAGTGGTCTAGTGGTTAACTGCCCAGATGTGCTCAGACAAGTCTAAAGGACTAAACCCTGGGGAACACCACACTTAAGGGACAGAGGAAGAATAGTCACAGAGGTAGGTCAAGAAAGAGGGGTAGCAGGATCCAGGAAGAGGAGTTCAGGATAGGGGAAAATACTGATCATCAGCGTCAGATCTCCACCAGAGATATGATGGCTTTCTCTCTCTTTACTAGGATGGAAGATCCATGAGGGCAGGGACTTTGTCTCTGCTGTATCCACAGTGCTCACAACAGTGCCTGGCTCAAAGCAGCTGGTCAACAACTACTTTCTTTTTTTGCTGAGGAAGACCGGCTCTGAGCTACCATCTATTGCCAATCCTCCTCCTTTTTTTCCCCCAAAGCCCCAGTGGATAGTTGTATGTCATAGTTGCACATCCTTCTAGTTGCTGTATGTGGGACGCAGCCTCAGCATGGTCGGACAAGCGGTGCGTCAGTGCACGCCCAGGATCCGAACCCAGGCTGCCAGTAGCAGAGCCCACGCACTTAACTGCTAAGCCACGGGGCCAGCCCAACAACTACTTGTTGAGTGAATGAAAGGATAGGGGCTGGGCCTTAAGGGGTCACTGAACCTGATAATTAGAAAGCATGGATAACATAAACCAGGGTCACTCTTGGGACACACACCCCTTCTCCCCTTATCCTGTCCAACTCCATCTAACCAGAGCACCACCCGGAGTCTGTCTCCCACACAGAAGAATGTTCAGACACACACGAGTTCACCTTTAACTATGGGATAAAAGTCTTTTCATGTGTAAGTCCCATTCACCTGTTTTGATGGAAGTTCTTCATAGGCAGACATAGTCAGTATGATGGGTACCTCGTAAAGACTTTATGAAGTAGCCAGAGCCTATAAGAGCTATACAGAACACAAACATAAAAGTAATTTTAGATGAAAATGAATCTTATGTGAGTTATGCCAAATGAAGAAATCACCCCATCGTTTATCTGTTTTATGAGTTTTCACATTTGCTTAAAAATGAGCATAGCTTGATGATCTTTTTCAGTTCCCATCTCCACCAATCAGTGTTGGTGGATTTCCAACTATACGTAGAAATTGAAAGATCAGACTGTAAAGTACCAGATTTTGGGATCAAGAGCCCCAAACAGCCTTGCAGTTTCTGAGGTAGAGTTCTGCCCAGACAGGTGAGCTGATTTCCAAGTCCTTCCTTAGGCCACCTCAGCCAGGCTCGGCATCCTTCTCCAACCGACCAGGCCAAGCAGAACTTGTAAACATGCACCAAGTACCTCGCACACAGTAGGTGCTAAGTATTCACTGATTACAAACCTGCATTTTCCCTTCAAACCATAAATGTCACAGAAATCCACCTCTTTTCCAGCTGTGTTCAGATCCTCCAGGCTTCTCTCTTCACTGAGGCAGTTCTTAAGGTTCCACATCCTTCATGAAGGCTTCCTTCCTTCCTCAATAGATGACAGTTCCCTTTAGGCCTGTCATCTCTAAATGCAATGGGCTTTGCATCTCCTACTTACTCAAAACTCCACAAAGTATATTTGCTACATGGGTATTTATTCAATCACTTTCTATATTTAGTCACCACTTAAATCGTTGCTAAGCTCTTCTCATATCTCTTTGCATCACAGTTCTTCATCTTGGATTGTGAAGTCAACAGGCAAGGGAGAACCTGTTAGTTATGATTTACAATGACTGGCACGGTGTCACAATCAAAGAACTCTGAGTAAACGATTGTGGAGAAAGAGAATGAGGATGGGGATGAGGGTCCTGAGTGAGGCCCAGACAGGCTGCCCAACCCATGGAACCTGAGGCCTGAGTAAGGCCTGGGATCTGCCTTCCCTCTGCCCTGGAGGGTCCATCTATGGGTGATTCTAAGGCACAGTGGTGAAGGACATGATTGGCCCACCAAGTGTGGTCCTCTGGTCTAGCGGCAGCCCCTCACCTGGAAAACAGTGCAACAAGCATTCCATTTAAAAGATCTTCCCGAACACATGCAAGCAGCATTCTCTAATGGAAATGGAGACAAGGTCTTTCTTGGAAGAGAGTGCCCCAGAAGACATTCTCTGCCCCAAGACCAACCAGGTCCCTTTTAAGGTCCCTGAGAACAGCAGCCTGGGAGCAACCAAGACTTTCAAAGGCTGGCAAGGCACAGAGTGGATGAATGAAAAGATAACAATACGTGGGGAAAAAAAAAAAAAAAAACAACTTTGGCTTATAAAACCAACCTGAGGCAGGGACATCAGTGTCCACCAACATGCAGAAACAGATATGATTGTAGCAGATGTCATCAGAAATGCTTTAGCATTTCCCACACTGCCCACCTCCCAAGCCCTGCTCTACCCTCCCTTCAACCCCCCGCAACACACACACACACACACAAACAGTATCTGCAGAATAAGTCAGAGGTTGGCATCCAGAGTCTGATGTCAGGATAAACTCTTGGCACTCGCGCTAAGTCACCGTGATTAGTTCTATCTAGAGAGCAAAAGTAACACTGGCCTAAGCTTGAATGGCAGGGTCTGTCTTGTGAAAAGTTAGGCTGCACCCAAGACTGCTAGGTCTGGAAAGTCTTTCACTTCTCCTACTTCGCTGAAAGGCTGTCCGCCCTGGTTGAATGTCAGCTTATACCGTAACCGGATGGGCTCCTGGGCAAAGACATAAGATGTTAAATTAGTGGGGAGCAACTCAGAGACCACGCCAGAGTAAAAGCCCTTACCCACCCAGTAGTCACCAAGGAACAGTATGTTAACTCCACCCAAGTGAGGGCGTCAAACAACTCTAAGACAGGGACACCCTGGCCTGGACCCTTTAGGACAAACACAGGCAGACATCCTGGGAGTCCTGCCACACCTGCAGTCCTGAGGTGGTCATACCTAGACCAGCTACGGCAGACAGACAGGCCTCACCCTTTCAGAGGACTCTATGGTATTAGGGAGCGTTTGTGTCATTCCCTTGGTTCCCAGCTATGACAATCCAGTCACAGATCTTTCAATAAGCCCCGAAGGAAAACAGACTCTAGCCAGGGCTAGTCCACCACCTCTCCCAACCAACCAGAGACTTTAGAGCAAGACCTCAATCTACCTCTCTCCACCTCCAAAGTTGCCTCCCTCGAGTTCAGAGGCCCCATTTCCCTGTTCCCAAAGATACCAGAACATACTTTGTGTGGATTGTCGAGCAGCAGCATCTGAGAGATCACAGCTGGAGGCATCAAAGGACTGAATGCAGGAAGCTTGGAGCTGGATGCCGGCTGCAGTTTCACTCGCATTGACTATCGGGGGGAAAAATTCAACATGTAACTCATTCCTAATAAACTACAGCTTCCATGAGGGAAATCAGGTGAACAGGTAGATCAGGTGACCTCTATCCCACTGATTGATGAAAAGATCCAAAAGACCTTTCCTTCCATACACAGACTGTACCTGAAGTTGTGTGGCCAATGGTTGGCTTCTGAGAGGCAGCATGAAGAGCCAGGGCACATCCTGGGTTGAATTCTAACTCTGCCTCATACTAGCTCGGTGATCTTGGGCAAAATATGTAACATTCCTAAGCCTTGGACGGATTCATAAAATAGAGGTAGTAATATGACATGCCCCCCAAGATTACCAGGAGGATTAGAAAATTCATATCTTTATTTTTGTCTGCCTTGAATCTTTCCTTTCAGGAAACAAGCCCCTTCCCTGTTTCTTGTGATTCTGGTATGGCTGTTAATCAGTGGGGCCCCTAATTCCCTTGAAAATGGGTGAACATAATACCCAAATTAGCCAGAGCACCTCACATCCCTGAACACGAGTTATTGGTCCAGAGTATGCAAGTAACACCAACAAGGCCAATCCTAGCCCTGTCTTGGGTAACCAGTGTGCATGCCTCATGCCAGGTACGAGTTCCTTTCTGAGATAAAAAGGGTTAAGGACCACATAACTCTGGAGCTGCTGGTAGTCACCTTCCTGCTCTGTGCAGAGTGTGTGTCAGAGAAGAGGCTCCAAAGAGGAAAAGTAAAGTCAAGTTTGGAAAGATATTCTTAAGGAATCATGTAAGAACCTGCCTGGATCCAGCCATATCTGAAGTCAGACCTTCAGGAATCCCAGTTAAACGAGCCAATACAATTCTCATTTTATCTTAAACTACTGTGAGTGAAGATTCTGTCCCTTCCACCTAACTAATAGATAATGTCCCAGCAAAGGACCTGGTGCTCAAAAATGACAGCCTTTATCGAAAAATTCAAAGGAGCTGGCGGGCAGATGACTCACCTTTGGCACAGCCACTTGGAACATGATGTCCCAGACAGGCTGGGTGGCAGTGCTCATCATGGTCAACAGCAACACCTGCACCTCTGGGTGGCCAGGGGCCCCGGTCTGGGAAAAGTGGAGCAGAATTCGGAATCCATTCCGGTCATACACGATAACAGGAGGCAGGCTGCCTGGCAAAGAAGGACCCAACCAAAAGGGTTAGTGCTACTACAAACTCCGCCAACAGCCAAGCCTGAAAAGAGATGTGCACCTTATCACCAAATGCTGTTGCTTCCCCAGTCAGAACAGCTCGTGGACTTGACCCTCCACACCACCATTAGTCCAAGTCCAAGTCCTCATTACCTCTGGCTGGACTCCTACGACCCTCCAAACTGAACTTTCCCCACCAGCCAACCATCTTAGGCATATTACCTTTTTTTTTTTTTTTAAAAATACCATTTTTTTGAGAGAGAGATGATTACAATTAAAACAATGTATGAATACTACAGAAAATACAGGATATCATAAAGAATGAAATAAAAAACATGCTTAATTCTACCCAGAAATAAGCACTGCTAACATTTGAGCTTATTTCCTCTGGTCTCTTTTGTATGACCACATACACACACACCTCTTATATTTAATTTTGCAAAAGTATAAGGACACTAGATCTCTTCAAATTAATAGGTTTAATGACATTCCAATGGAAATCTTAAAAGGATTGTTTTTTTTTTTTTATAATTTTATTTATTTATTTTTTCCCCCAAAGCCCAAGTAGATAGTTGTATGTCATAGCTGCACATCTTTCTAGTTGCTGTATGTGGGACGCGGCCTCAGCATGGCCGGAGAAGCGGTGCGTGGGTGCACGCCCAGGATCCGAACCTGGGCCGCCAGCAGCAGAGCGCGCGCACTTAACCACTAAGCCACGGGGCCAGCCCAAAAGGATTGTTTTAATTTAGCTATTCTAAAGTTAATTTGGGGAAAAAATACATGAGACTGACCATTAAAAAAGAGGGAGGTAACATTACTTGCATTAACAAATACTCGAATATGTACAAAATTGCAATTCAAGCCAAGTGATATAAAACAGAGCATGCAGTACAGACCCAAATACGAGAATTTAACATGTTAGGAACGTATACTTCAAAATCAGCAGCTGATTCAATAAATGGCACACAACTTGCTAACCACCTGGAAAAAATTTAATGAAGATCTTTATCTCATGCCAAACATCACTTATCAAAATGCACATAAAAAAATAGAGTTTAACAATGAAACTTTCAAAGTTTTAAAAGACTGAAAATACCCTTGAGGTATGGTGGTGACGATATGGGGAAAGAGGAAACCCTTCTGGAAGGGAACTTGATAATGCAGATCAAAATTCTAAATGTCTACGCCCAGCATTTCCACTGTTAAGAATATATCCTAATAAAATAATCAGGAAAGTTTTAAAAAAAAAATGGGTTTCCAGAGAGTTCACTGTAGCACTGTTTTCAACAAGCAAAAAACTAGAAACAAATTATCCTTCAGAAAGGAACTGAATAAATTACAGTACATCTATTTAGTGGTATAATGTACGGATTCATTAAAAAAAATCAAGGTTTTGAAGAACAATTAAGGGCATGAAAAAATGCTATGGCTTATAGTCAATAAGGCAGGATATAAAACAGTCTATATTTACAATGGTGCCAATTTATTAAAAAACCTACATACGTGTATGACAAGAAAATACATTAAGACTAACAGAACTTCCATCTCTGGGTGGCGATGGTAAAAATGATTTTTATTTTCTGCTCTATTCTTCTCTAATAAAACTTCTACACTGAACATTTATTTGCTTTTAATCTTTTTTACTTTGTTTTGTAATAATTTCAGATTTATAAAAAGTTACAAAACTAACACGAAGAATTCCCATAGACCCTTCACCCAGCTTCCTCAAATGTTAACATTTTACATAACCACAGCATAATTATTGAAACCAGGAAATTAACATTGAACATGTATTATTTTAAAATCAAAAATTAATAAAGTATACAAAGGGCTCCTACTGCTTACTGACTGTTTAAATTCCTCTGCCTGTTTCCCTGGCCCTTTGCAATGAGGCCTCACCACACCGAGCCATAGAGAAAAGGCCCAGGCCCTAGATCTAAAGACCCCCGTTGCTTCCTGCTCACACACTAGTGTGTTGACCGCGAGCAGTCACCTTACTTAGCTGGGCCTTCCGTTTCCTTTCCTTTGTAACGGAGGTAATATCTACTTTCCTGATTTAATGAGGATCCCCACAGGAAGAGAATCACCAGCCAAATTCTTCCTTTCTTTCTAATTCCACCTCTTCTGAGTTACTGCAGGCCACACTGAATATTCCCTTCTTGAATTCCAAATGAATGAACATCATGTCTGTAAGTATATTCAAGCCTAATTAAATTCTGCCTGTCAATATCCTTCACAGTGTCAACCCCAAGACAGAGAAAACTTTAAGAAAAATACTAGCAGGGCCGGCCCAGTGGCGCGAGCGGTTAAGTGCGCGCACTCCACTGCGGTGGCCCGGGGTTCACCGGTTTGGATCCCGGGCGCGCACCGATGCACCGCTTGTCAAGCCATGCTGTGGCGGCGTCCCATATAAAGTAGAGGAAGATGGGCCAGTCTTCCTCAGCAAAAAAGAGGAGGATTGGCATTGGATGTTAGCTCAGGGCTGGTCCTCCTCACAAAAAAAGAAAAGAAAAATATTAGCTAAGAGACCATAAAGCCACCTCCCTATCCTCTGCCCCCAGGCAAAATCTCCACTACTCATCTTCCCCAGTTTAAGAGCCACTCCTACCAATCCAGAGTGGATAAAACTGGGCATCTAATAGAGAGAAAGAAGAAAAGGGTGAAACTGTACTTACTGGGCTTAACAGACTCTAAAGGGACAAACACTTGAGCCAGAGGTGTATTCTGGGAAGATGGGGAAGAAGCCAATGGGCCAGCCTCCCAGGACCAACCTGGAGAGGACTTAGTACCTGGTGGCACTTCCTTAGGAATACTTTTCTGTGGAATATAATTCCTGCAAAGAAATAAAAAACATTAAGACTAGTAAAAATTATAGAGAATTCCAGGAATCTGATTAGGCTTTCTGAAGAACAAGGAAGGGGAAAAAAAAGAAAGATATGTATGTGCCTGTGTATGTGTGTGTATTTTAGAGGTATATGACTTTAGACAAGTATCCTAATCTATGCCTAAATTTTCTCATCTGTAAAATGGGAATAATCTAGTATCTACCTCGTAGGGTTGTTATAAGAATTAAATGAGAAAACGTATGAAAAGCATTTAGCACATAATGAGTGTGCACATAATAAGGACCCAAAAAACTAGAGCTATCATTACTAAGGTAACGTCATAGTTGTCAGGCAGTATCTGACAAGGAGTAGCTCGGTCAGGCTAAGTTTCCCACACGTGATCACCAGAGTGATGTAAGCTAGGAAGACGACAACACAAATTACACTGACCCCTTCATTGGTACTTCTTTATGATTTTGTCCATTTGAAATACAAACTGAAAACATTTTTGGAAAACTAAAGTCCAGACAGAAGTAACCCACCAAAATTAGAATGATTACTGGCCCCCTGTCAAGTGGCTAGAAAGAGTACCCGCTCTGAGTGCAAACAGGAAGGACCTCCCAGCACATCTCTCTTTCCACCAGAGCCCTGCGGTCTCTACTAGGGACACTGGCCCTCTCAGGCTGTTTGGGGGAAGGCAGACTGCTCCAACCTTTCCAGAGGCAAAGGGACAGGATCTATGAAAATGTATTTATATTCATACATTAAAGTACTTCTACTGTTAGGAATCTGTAATATAAAAACACTCCCCCAGGTGCAGCCAAACTGGAGGCTATGTAAATATCCAAAAGAGGGAAACGATTAAATCTATGTATATTCTATGTATATGAATTACACAACTATTAGAAAGAATGAGGCAAATTTCTGTAAACTGATAGGAGAATGTGTCAAAGATACAACGTGATATAAAAAACCACACTGGAGTTTGTAAATTATGATCTGTTTGTGTAAAAATAAGCCACAACAACACATTACTACATGTATAGAAAGAAAGCGGAGCAGGCCCGGTGGCGTAGTGGTTAAGTGCGCACGCTCCACTGCGGCGGCCCAAGGGTTCGCAGGCCCAGAATCCCGGGGGCACACCGAGGCACCGCTTGTCAAGCCATGCTGTGGCGGCGTCCCATATAAAGTAGAGGAAGATGGGCACAGATGTTAGCCCAGGGCCAGTCTTCCTCAGCAAAA